GCATAATTTACCAATTGTATGAGATATAAGCAAGCACGGTGCTAACATTGGCTAATTTTATGCTCAACGTGAATCTTATGGCTGGTCAGATGGATACTGTAAAAAATAATTAGAGTCATTAGAAGTAATGGGCTACAGCTGCAGTAATACATGCTCTATTCTCAGTCCAGAGGTTTCTAAGCAAAATTAAATTAGCTCCTGTTACCACACTGCTGCATCATATGCTCCTCACCCCCTGTGCATGAACTTCTCTTCCCATTTCCATACCACAAGCACCATTTGTGCCACACACAGAAAAAGCCCAAGGAATTCTGAAGCTTGAGGCCATTCCTTGATAGGAAAAAAAAAGAAAAAAGGAAGTAATAAAATGAGAACAATTATAAAGTGGCAGCAGAAGGTCCTCAGCTCACATTAACTCCACACATTCAGGATCATCCCTCTCCTCTGCTGTAGCCTTTAGTGCAGGGCACAGGTTGCAAGTCACTTTTTCATCAGTGCTGGACCTGGACAAATTTTCCCCCTGAACTATTTACATTAAATTGTACTATTTAACAGAATTATGCCCACTGTATTGGAAGCATATCTGCAGCCTCCAACTGCAGGTGATACTGCTTGCACATCTTTAATACCCTCTTTTTTTTTCCAAAATTCAAATGGCTCTTCCTAAGAGTAAGGAAAATGCTGCATTATCCTGGAGGGGGTGAGGGGAGGGACAAGAAGGAAATAGATTCCATGGTCCTGAGGTGATTAATGTGACTGTTTATGATGAAGGAAATGAAAACTAGAAATCTGGGTAACTAATGATCTTTCCAAATGAATGACTTTCTCTGGAACCACAATACAAACTCATGTGCTGATTTCCTTTAAATTATTGCTGAAGTTCCCAAAGCAAAGCAGGGATGAGACTGAATTTTTTTTTTCTTCTTTGTCAGTTTCCAGGAGCACAGAATTCCCATCGATTTCCAGGGGTTCAGTGGGAGATGCCCACATACCATCCCCTCTCTTTAGAACAGGAGGTGCTTTGGTGGCAGGATTGAGGAGAAGGGCTTAAGAGGCACATTTAGCACTGTCAATTTTGGGTGGTGAGCTGGAGCTGACTGTGCTCAGGGGGAGGAACAGGGCTAACACTATTTCTGATGAAGGGACAAGCCCAGCACTGCAGCTTGGGAAAGATCAGTTATCCATGTGCCAGCCATTCATCCCTGGCCATGGCAACTTCCCTGGCCTCAGTTATTGCAGTGTATAAATGCTTCACAACTGCTAATATATTTATCTTTCCATCCTCCCTATGGAGTTGGGAAGTGCTATTACCTCTGTTGCAGAACTAAGAACTGAGATTAAGGGTCAGATTTGCTATGGCATTTAGGTGCTCAATGGGATTTTCAAAAGTAGCTAACACCCATTGTAATAAGTGGAACTTGGATAGTTCTGAAAATCCTGTTACTTGTGTCTTTAAAAAAAAAAAAAATTGGACTTATATGAAACCTTGGGATCCAGAGGAGTAGTTCCCAAGTTGTGGGGAGTCACCCAGACAGGAGAATGTCTCTTCATCCACCTCCCAGGAGACTGCAGGTGGGACAGGAGCAATTTCATGGCAGTAGTTTATCTCAGTGCTGAATTCAGCAAGCTGTAACTGTGCAGAGCATTGCATTTACCCTTCTTGCCCAGCTCTGCGAGAGAGGTCAAAATCCAGTCCTGCAAATACTGGAGCAAAAATAAGCAGCACCCATGGTCAATAAAAAGGGCTTATGTGCCAATTGCTGGGATGGAAAATTCAAGAGCAGGAGCAAATAATGAAACAATCTATATTCATGCAGCCACCTTTCCAGCCTACTGCTCTAAGTACAGGCTTACACCTCACCAGGAGATGGGAATCCCACTAAAAGCTCTGGAGTATCACACTGGAAAACAAATGTTGATTTTGAACAAATTATCTGTTCATCTCTAAATCATTTTCTTTCATTATTAGTCTCCAAATTGGTTCTGCTCTGGAAGGCAGAATTAGGTTTAAAAGCAGAGCGTCTCTTAAACGCCTGCTTCAAATGAAAGTGTTCGGTAAACATTGCTCAAACCCCCAGAGCATAAACTCCTCAACTGCTTTCTCTGGCTTTGCATAGATTTTACAGCTCCTGGTTTATGGCCAGGTGGCTCAGAGATTCATTCAGGATATCAGAAAATAATCAAATGAAATCCCTTACAAACATATGCCCCTTAAATACCAAGGAAACAATTTTTAAGACCTTCCTGTCCTCCTTTACAGTAGCATAAACTGGGACGAGAGTCCCAAAAATATGGATTTACACCAATATGGAACATGGAGGAGAGAGAAGAGTCAGGCTCCAAACCCCAGCACGAGTACAAAGCCACGCAGGCTGCAGCCCAAGGCTTTCATTATTTCAAGACCTGCACTTGGCTGTTGCAGTATTTTCAATCATTTCTGCAGTCTCAAGGTTCTAAAAAGATCCCTGAGCTTTCAAGTTGCATTTTCAGCATTAAAGGGTTGGGTTTGTGTTGCATCAGTGTGTCAGCAGGATTGCAGCTGTCTGAGGCTGTGATTTGGGATGGTGGGGTGGGGGTCAGCTCAGTTAGGAGGGTGATGGAGCAGCAGCAAAGCCCCAGCTGTTGTTGTGTTCTTGTCCCACGTCACACCACGGGCTGATGGAAGGGTCCTGTGTACCTCCAAAGGCTCTGCATGGGTTAGAATGCATCCAAAAATCACATGGTTTCCAACAGTGTTTGCAAGATGCTGTTACTCCACTTCTTCAGGTGGAGGAGGGAGAATATCTCCATCGCTTTGTTACACGTGAAAGAGAATAAAACTCTGGGGCAATGTTTTGTATGACACTCCAGATCATTGGTGGCTTATTCAGAGCTTGAATTTCAACTGATTGCTGGTCAGGGCACCTGTGTGCACAGGGAAAGGTGCAAGAAGGTCCTCTGTTGATTCTCCCCCACCTTAGGGAAACTTCCACCAACTTCCCAGCTCTCCTCACTCTCCAGTAAAGGTGTGGGACTGGGAGGCTGCTCCTGCACAGAGCAGGAATGGAGTGCTGCTGTAAAGGAGTGTGTTTGCACTGTGGTGTCTGAGCACCACGCTGTTTTGCACGTAGGAGATTTATTTCTCAGTGGATAGAAGAGCTAAAAGATTAACAGATGAACAAATACATTGAGACAGCCGGGACATCAAAGAAATTGGAGAGTCACTGAGATGCTGGAGAGTCACTGGGCCGTGTTCTTAGGAATTATTTTATCCTCAGATTACCTCAGCTGTCTTTGGGGTTTGGACACATCCTCTGGTGAATTTAGCTACATGATTTAAGCTGTAACTGGCCCAAGCTCTCTGCTGCTCCTCCTGAGGATCGTGCCCGTGGAGCAGAGGGAGTGTGTGCCTGCATGCCAGACACTGCAGCACAGATCCTGGGGGCTTAGGGCAAGCAGAGGGTCCTTTGTTTTTCAGTGTTCCTGTGAGGTACACCAAGAGCAAGAGTGTACTGAATCCCTGGGCAGAAATCTCCAGGGGAAGTACAGGTCAGACAGCTTTTTGTCCTCCATGCAATCTGCAATTCAGTCAGGCAGGAAAAAAAAGTGAGTTACAGGAGTCGTAACCTTGGGTGCCTCACACAGGAACCAGCTGAGGGGTGATAGCAGTGGAAGGAATCAGAAGAAAGTTTACACAAAATGTGGCTTCCCTGCAGAAAACAAAAAGCAGCTCAGAGGGGTTGTGCAGAGGCTGCTAACCATGAGACCATGCTGCATATGCCTCAATTGCTCCCTGAAATTTAGATTTAGTTAAGTCAGCCAGGAAATTATGGATGAGTTCAGGGTCTTGAGGGAAAGGTGTTCAAAAAGCAGCAATATGAAGACACTGAAAAGAGGGAAAGTCGTGACTTGAAAAGTGCCACACAGAGGGAGCTGTGCCTGTGCTTTATTGAACTGTTGCCTGCAATAAATACAGCTGAATTCCCTCAGTCTCCCATAATGTTGTCTCAGTACCGGCAGGAGTCCATTTAAGAACACACTTACTTGCACAAATGATTATGTATATGGAGAGCAGAGAAAGAGCTGATGCAGGCAAACCCTGAGAGCTGGGGGTGCTGCTGGGCTGCCCCGTGCTCAGCTTTGGTCGGTGCTGCCAGCCCAAAACAGGCGAAGCAGAGGAGCTCCTGTTCCAGCCCTCCCATCTGCTTCACCTGAGGAGACCATAGCCTAGATTTTGTGATCATACAGTAAATAAATGATGATAAAATCAACTAAGAGGCTATTCTCAAAGAGGGAGAGTTGTTTTTTTATAACCATTTGCAATACAGAGAGTAATAAGAGACTGCACTATAAATAAGAAAGAGACAAGTGTAATAGAAGATCTAAAAATGGATGATGAACAAAGAAGACTGAAGCTTGTGCTTCTGCTCTTTACAGCATTAACCCCAATTGCTGAAGTTAAAGGTCTGGCTGTGTTGCAGAGCTGTAATGGGGCTGTCAGAGGCCTGTGCAGTGTATCCACAGTTAGGAGGGGCTGAAGCTCTGCAGAGCACATGGTCATGCCTGGTGTGATGTGAGCCACATAACAAGTTTTGGGGTCTTCAGTCTGATTGTTTTCATTGATTTCCTTGTATCCTCAAACCCTTCCAAACCTCCCGGTGTAGGAATTCAGGAGAACTAATTTATTCCTGCTTGAAGAGTGGTTTGGGGAAGAGAAACACTTGCACCCTCTGTGTAGGTGCTCAGCTTTGCTGATCTCCCCCGTTAGCGCTGATGAGTGAGAAAGCTGAACTAGAAATGAGAGCAAACTGGCCCTGGGGGTGCCTTCATTGCCCCTTTCCTCTTGGCCCAGCGCAGCAAAGCTGGCACGGAATGTCCGCAGATCAGACCTGTGATGTGTTTTGCATGAACCTTTCCCTCTGGAGGCGTGTGAGGAGCTGCACACCAGCAGGGTCTGGGGGCAGTGGGGTGTGAGCAGGAGCTCCGAGCCCACGGGGCTGGGTGACCGCTCTGTGTTGCAGGCTGGAGTCGCCCACGCGCGCGCTGGTGATGGAGGCTCCCAAGGGCATCGAGATCAACGCCGAGGCCGGCAGCCTGAAGGCCACGTGCAGGACAGAGCTCAGGCTGGAATCCAAAGATGGAGAGGTGAGTGGAAAACGCCAGCCCCGCAGCAAAGCCGAGGCATTGTTCCCCTGCAGAGCTGTAGGCCTGTGGGTCACCAAGCTGCTGTGTTTGAAACGCTGCTGGGAAAGCCTGGGGACAGGGGGCTCTCCTGACTTCATTTCTGCTCACTCTGATCGATCACATCCCAGGCAAATCAGGCTCACTCCGTGGCAAAGGCTGATTCATTATTTTTAAAGTGCGTGGATAATAGCATCTGTTGTTCCAGCAGATTTATGCGGCTGTAAAATGCACGGTGCTCCTAAATTCTTTGTTTCCTTGTCATCTTAAAACAAGATTTACTTGGCCAGCATAATTAAATCTTTTATCATATATTTTTCTATAAGAAGAGCTTAATTCACTGGTATTGATCTGAAAAGCTTTTGTGGTTGATGTTTCATTCTGGAAAGCAAGAGAACATTAGGAGACACAGGTTGTTGCACTGGAGAAACTTCCAAAGGGGAAGAGAGAACAATTAAAAATTAATTAAAATTAAAGCTGGTCACATAGTGCAAAAGTAAAGTAGGCATTGAGTTAAGCCTCTTCTGGTGTCACAAAGTCATGTGGGCACATGGTTCTCATCCTCTGGAATGGATGGCATGGTTTCCAGTGGGGAAACCATTGAGAGCCTCACCAGGAGGAGATGCCCATGGAACACAAACCTCCAGGCAAGAGGGCTCCCATATAAATTAAGATTTACCTATCCTAGGGTCAGGGCTTACAACTAGAAAGACTTTTTAATTGCAATTTCTGTTATTTCTAAACATTTGCATTTTAAGACAGTCCAAACCTAGACTGTGGGTGTTAACAAAAAAACTGTGAAAAATACCAGAAACAAAAAAACCTACCTAATACACTGAGATTGAAATCCAAGGCATTTCACAACTTCAGGCAGTTGCTTTCAGTACTAAGTTGCTTTTAAAATGCATTAATTGACTTGTATCTTTCAGGACATGAGATGGGTGGATACTAAAACTTGAGGTTCCTATTGTAATTGCAAATATTCTCAGTCACCCTGTATTATTCTGAGGTTCAGGTTATCTTGCTGTGTTCTGTTCCCCTGCAGCTGCCACGTGTCTGAGAGCTGCCACATGTTGTTTGCCTTATGTTGTTTTTTAAGGAGGAATTTAGGACTGTTAGAACATTTGAGTTATTTTTAATATACACAAAAGTGTTACACATATACATAAAATATACATAAAATATGCATAAAATATGCATAAAATATACATTAAATATACATAAAATAAAGATAAAAGTCAGTGCTGGGAGCTTACAAATGTAACTGGCGATGGGATCACGGTGGCAGAAATCCTGAGAGGAGCAGGGGGTTGGATGGGTGTGAACCATCCACACTCCCCATCTGACAGAGGGGTACTTCTGCTTGGGTCAATCCAAACCTGGGATTGGATTCCTGGCAGGTGTTTTTAGAAAGCTAAAAGAAAACACAGTGGGTGCATCAGCAGAAACCAGCTGGAGGTTGTGGTGAAGGCAGATAAAGTGCTCACCCAGATTTGTTTCAGACTTTCCCATCCTAGAACACTTCCCTACCCAGTTTTTGCAGCAGCTGAGTTGTCTGGAGGAAACTTCTTTAAACACAGCGTCAGAAATAACAGCTCTCCACTAATTCTTTTTTTTTTCTTTTTTTTCTCTCTCTCTCTCCACCTCTGACTCCAGATAACGTTGAATTCTGCAAAAATCAAACTACCTAACTTGCCTCAAGGATCTTCCTCTTCTGCAGGGTCCAGGCAAAAAATCTACGAGCTCTGTGTGTGTCCCAATGGGAGGTTGTTCCTGTCTCAGGCAGGCAGCAGCTCCACCTGCCAGATAAACACGAGCGTCTGCCTTTGAGAGACAATTTGCAGTGGGGCATCGCAGGCAGCACAAAAGCCAGTTCTGGTCTCACAGATCCAGCTGCCAACTATTTTTACTAGAACACAGAAAGCCTATCAAAGACTTCTTTTGTGTGTGCGCGCGCGTGTGTGTGAATATATATATAAAAAATATATATATAAGATATATATATATATATCCTCTGTGTAAAACGATGTTTCAGTACAAGGAATCCCAGGGTGACCCTGTTACATTTGTGTAGCATTTCTCTTTCCCACGCCAAAATTTACTGGTACAATCTGCTGAATTGGATCTGATGCTCCCCTGGACCCCTCTGTATTAATACAGTGCAATGATCACCCCTCGTTTTTGATCAGGTTCTCAGAGCAATGGGATTGCTGGCTGGGCAAGACCCTGGAACCAATGCAGACCCACTAACATCCAAAGGGAAGAGAAGCATCTCTGATTATTTCTGCACCATTAAATCAGTGGCATGAAAAATAAATAATTTCAAAAAGAACAAAATCACTTACAATGATCCAAGAAGTTAAATTACTCTTTAATTATTACTTGAAGCATGGCTCCCTCTTTGGGGAGATGGATGCACTTGGGCAGTAGGAAAGTCCAGACCTTCTTGCTAAAATAATAAATGTAATTTTCTGAAGGGGTTCAACACTTGGCCTGTACATGGCCAAAGATGCCTTGTGCTATTCAGGTGTGACACGTCAGGTCCAACATTAACCTAAAATCATCTCTGTGCTGGCGAAACTGGTGTTGTATTTAGTTACTGGAAGGAACCAAATGGTGAAAGTTGGACTAAGTAGAAAAATCCTGAACCTCTTTTGTTAACAGGTGTCCTGGATCACCCCGCCAACTCCCCATCAACACCTTCAGTTTTGAACATATTTGGTGTGAAGGTGTGAAGATTTGAGATTTGGACATTGACTAAATACCTATAGAAACAGGGAAAATCAACTGGAAACTGAGAAAATCATAAAATTGAATGTATAATGCAGATACTACACCAGGATTTTTGTCATGTTTCTTTTCAAGAGATACAGTTCAAGGTCACTTAGATTTGGTGGAAACTGCAAATATCAGAGATGCTGACAATCAAAGACTTTTTTTTAAGGATTTATAAAGATTGTGACAAAGCCAGATTACTGAAAGGAAGGGCTTTGGATGCTGGTTCCTCTAGAATTTGAGTCCCCAAAACTCTGTGGTTGAATCTTATCATGGTTGCATTTTTTCCGTATTTTAAAGTCTAGGAGTCACGGGCAGGATAAAACACAAAAATCTGATCTGGTAACATTTCTTCCACTTTTGAAGTTTTAGAAAATAATAAGAAGATCCAGATCGTTTAATTCTGACCCATAATTTCATCCACATGCATGGAAAAATCCTTAAAAAAACCAAATATACCAATTACTGCAGAAGTTTTCAAGTCACAGCAAATCTCACGAGGACAGCAAGGTTTCTAAGCCACTGAGATGCTTTTGAAATATTACCTCATGTGCAAATAAGACAGATCTGTGCCCATCCCTAGTGATATCTAACCAAAGCTGGTATTCTTCAAGTGATCTTCAAGATAAAACAGCTGACAGAAATCTTTAGAAATAATTTAGCCCATTCCTTTTTTTACAGCTTTTCACGTATTTTCTTGTGGTCTCGAGAGTACCAGGGTTTGATTATTTTTTTTTTAATTTTTTTTTTTTTTTAATTAACAATTCTGGCTCAATCCAAAACCGATTGGACTCAAAGAGAAGGTTTCTATGGAGTTTAGATTAGAAGTCTTGCTGCCTAACAAAGCAGCACTCCCAAAAAAATTTATTCCTGAAAGAGGATTGAATTATTTCCTTTTACTTCAATAATGCTTTCTGATAAATTAACGCATTCAAACTATTTGTTAATGAATGATTCCTGTAATTATTATGTCTTGAATCAACATTTGAATGCAAAGGGTCACCCAGGGTAACAATTGTATTGGGACACAGGACTATACCATCTCTGTTCAAAGAGGGGAATTGTGCCTATGCCTTAAGTCAATGCACTCAGCAAGGAGAAGCACATCATATTTATCTTGTTATTAAATCTAGTTTATTTGGGGGGAGGGGCAGGAGGGTGTCTTGGGAACTGGTTGTGCAACTTCAAACAGATATTGATGAAATACATTAAGACTGTAGGGGCACCTAGAATGATACAGACTTTTTTTTTTTTTTTTTTTTTTTGCCATGTTAAATATAGCAAAATACTGTGTATGTTACCTCTGGGACCATGACTGAAGTCCCATTCATAGTCCTACATTTACTGTAGAATTTTTTTCCCTGTTTCATTGAATTCTCATCACTAACCTCATAGCAAGCACGGCCCAATCCATAACCAAATCCTGTGTGAGCAGTTTGAAGAGACGTGCAGGAAGAGTTCCCTGTAAAAGAACCAGATTAACTTTCCAGCCCTGGGAGCATTCAGGTGGGTGAGGAAGGCAGGGCTGAACACAGGGACTGGCCCATCAGGGATGCTGTGTCCTGATTTCTGTGCTCTGCTCCGGTGGCTCAATCCTCATCCCTCTGCCACCCTCTGGATGCTCCCAATTTCCATCCCAACAAATTAATTTTGAGTGGCTGATTTTCTCAGTTGGGCTCTTGGATGAGGTTATCACCTTCTCATATCACAGCAGCCACGAAACTGCCAAGGACATTCATATCTTGGCGTGAATTTCTGCTGGGCAGCTGTTAGGAAATGACCTTAACATCTGTGCCATCACTGCAGATGCTTCTCTGAGGTGAACAAAGGGTACCTTAATTATGTCTACTGAAATAAATTCTTCTTGTTTCGATATATTTTACAGCCATGTTTCCATCTTAAAAAACATAAAATTCTGTGTTGTGTTGAAATGTGAGGAGTTGTTGTTAGAAAGAATGAACCCCTGTAGGACTTGTAGATCATTTGAACACCACTTGAGTTTTAAGACAGTGGTTTGGGTGATGCTGCCTGTGCTGGTCAGCAAGTGGCAAACATAAATACAGGCTGGGCAGAGAATGGGTCAGGAATATTCCTGAGGAGAAGGACTTGGGTTGTTGCTTGAAGAGAAGCTCAACATGACCTGAAGTGTACTCACAGCCCAGAAATCCAATCCTGTCCTGGGCTGCATCAAAAGCAGTTGAGGGAGGGGATTCTGAGCTCCTGTGACACCCCACCTGCAGTGCTGTGCCCAGCTCTGAGGGTCCCAGTGTCAGAAGGACGGGGACACATTGGGGTGAGTCCAGAGGAGACCACGAAGATGCTCTGAGGGCTGAGACCCTCTGGGACTGCTGAGGGTGCTCACCTGGAGAAGAGAAGGCTCCAGGGAATACCTCAGAGCCCCATCCAGTGCCTAAAGGGGCTCCAAGAGAGCAGGAGAGGAACTTTTTACAAGGGCAGGGAGTAATAGGACATGGAAGAATGGCTTCAAACTGACAGCAGGCAGAGTTAGGTTAAATATTAGGAAGAAGCTCTTTGCTGTGAGGGTGGTGAGGCCCTGGCACCTGTTGCCCAGAGAAGCTGTGGATGGCCCATCCCTGGAAGTGTTGGATGTGGCTTGTAGTAGCCTGGTCTAGAGGAAGGTGTCCCTGCCTCTGGTAGGGGGTTGTAACTGGATGGTCTTTAAGGTTCCTTCCATCCCAAACCCTAACCCTAACCCATTCTAGGATTCTATGAAAGCAGAGCAAACAGGACTGTGTCTCAGATCCCAGGGGAAAATAACAGGCATTTTGTTTAAAAAGCTGCCTTCAAACACATGCAGCCATCTCCCACTCCAAAGTTGGTTGTGGAGTGGCTGACTCTCCTGTTGGACAAGGCAAGGGCATGAGAGTCCCTTCCCCTCCTGCCTTGCCCAGAAATCCCTCACAGTATCTGTGAGGCTGCTTTTCCCTGAATCTGTTTAAACCAGAGCTTCCCTGACCAGAATTTCATCCATATGCTCTACCTACCATTGATAAAACGCCAGAAACAAACAAGAGTTGTGCATTTCATTGTGAATCGGGCCTGAAGTTTAGTTTGGTTGAGCATCTCTATTTGGAAGATAGGGTTGATCTCCAAGTGGAGTTTAGATTGTTTCTGCTGAGATCAGTGGAAGAGATGGTGATGACTTCATGGGCTGGGCAGGTGACAGCACTGAGGGGACATTGCCAGCCCTTGGGGTGGCTGTGGGGCTGAACCAGACCCTGCATTACACCTGTGAGCACTAAAACCCCACCCAAATGCTAATCAAGGGACTGTGCCACCGGTGTCAGTGCACCTGGGAAAGCCATGCAGGAGTCCTTCATTTGTGTGTGGTGGCTCTTTATAGAACTGCAGGACCTTGTCCAGCTTGCTGTAAATGTGACAGTTTAGGAAAGGGTCAGGAGAATGACAGTCAGTGCTCACCTGTGACTGGAACCTTATCCATATGTAGTGTGTGACCCTTCTGTCATAGCTGAGGTAGGATGGTGCTTTTAAAGCAAGACTTTGCCCTTAGCAAAAGCAGAGGTCCTGATAATGGCTGTACATCTGTATCCATTCCCCACGTTTCTTTGTGGGTTTTTTGGCTGTTGGTTTGTTTGGGTTTTTTATTCATTTTGAAGCATATTACCCCAGAGTCAGTGAAATGGGCAGCTAAAGAGTACAAAGAAATGTTAACAGTAAAGGAAGTCATCAGGAGGGGAAGCCAGTAACTACTACAATATGTATAAAGCCTCTCCTCAGTGTTCATTTTTAGAAAACTGAGTATGTGCGAGAGTGATTTGTATTTGGTTACCTCAGTCATGTGCTGACAAACAGCTGTGTTCTAGAAGGGTTGTGGGTTTTTTTTGTCCTCTTATGATAAATACCACATTGCACAAACAAAAAGTTTGAAGGAGTTATCCTAAAAATAGAATCTGCAATATATGGTATAGCAAAATGATGGCTAAATAAAAAACCCTCCCTAGAAATTGCTCCAAGGTTGAAGGGAGATTCCTGTGGAACCTGTGAAGGCTAGCTCACATCACAACCTGGTGAAAATCCATTTTGTTGTCATCAGATGCTCACACATGCACACAAATATACACACACACTCATGTACACTTGTTTACAACAAAAGCCAATTCTCTTTATATTTGTTCTTATGGCTTTAAGTTTCACATTGCAAAAGAGAGTGAGACAAAGACCAAAGACTTCAAGAAATTCATCCCTCTCTGGTTGCCCTCACACCTGAAATGCATTAACTTTAATGGTGCTTTTTCTGAACTGGGCTGGAAAAATGCAGGTGTATCATAAAGCTGCATTTGGGAGAATAAAGTGGCAGGAAGGCTCTAACTTGGTTAACAGGAAGAGGATGGAATAATGTGAAATGTGTGCAGAGGGAAAGGTTACCTGAAATTTGAAATGTGGAGAAACAGCCCAGAGAAAGCTTAAAGACATCATCCTGGGCTGAAAGGATAAATAAACTGAGTAAATGGTGCTAGCTGCTCACTCGAGCATTAGCAGGGCAGGAGCTCCAGTGGCTGCTCAGTGGAGAAGAGTAACTGCTGCAATGATTTCATTTTAGAAGTACCTACAGTAAAAACATTAAAAACAAACAAACAAACAGAAAAAAAAAAAAAAAGTTAGAGGCTGTGCTCTTTTTTATGGCTGACATTTTAAATTTTGAAATGTCATCATCCAGAATTCACTCCAGCAAGCGCAGGGTGTGTTCCTGCCAAGCTTTGCCAAGCGCTGCTTTGGTACTTTTTGAATGTGAAAATAGCAGCCTTTTTATTGCCCTGGCTGTTCAGGAACGTGATCCTGGCAACAGTTCCCTTCTCCTCATTTTAACCATTTTTTTTCCTCTGCTCTGAAATTGCTGTGTAATGTTTTGGTAGCTGGTGTCCTGCTCTCAAATCCAGCAGCCCCCAAGCCTGCATCGTGTCACATCTCAGTCACACAGAGCCCCAAAACCTGCGTGTAGCAGTGGCATGACCCTAAAACTGGGGACTTGCAGGTAAATTCTGCCTGGCAGTTGCTGTGTATTCACAGCTGATGTAGCCAAGTTTATGGCTGTGAGTGCAGCAGGATTAAACACTGACGTGGTACTGAGGTTATTCAAGCAAGAGTGGAGTGAATTAAACAAGGCAGGTAGGAGGGAAGGGGAAGAAATTGGGAGAGACATCACCCTAATCACAGTAATGCAGTCAACATCTCTGTCCCTTTGCACTATTATACCTTAAATTAATAACATCCATTTTACTAAATATGGTAGCAATTATGCTTGATCTTTTCATGGAGCTCGGTGGAATTACTGTCACTGAAACCACTTACAGCTCGGGCTGTTCAAGATTGCTGGGGTGTTGTTTCCATCCACAATAACCACAGTGGCTTGGGGCTTGGATGGAAATTGTAGTGAATAGCTTGTATTTAGAAAGCTTTTAAGTCTGCTGTGGTTGAGAGGCCCCTGGTTATGCACATCCAGCCCTGAGGCTTTATCATTTCAGCCTCTCTTGTCTTGCCACTTGAATTGTATTGTGCCCTTGTGAAAAGCGACACACGGTATAAAGAACACAGGAAAAGATGGATATTTAAAGCTGCAGGATTTTTATCTGAAATGAAGAAGGAAATACAATCAGAGTGCCCCACTGAGATTTCCCATCCAAATCACACTAAACTAGAGGGGCAAGTCCCTTAAAAATTAATTTGCTACAAGTGTCATTCCTGCAGCAAAGTTAGCACTGGTGTCTCTCACAGGAAATGTCTCACCTTATTGCAGCTGGAAGCCCTGTGGTGGCTGGGATTTTGTGCCACCAGTCAGGAGTGATGGTTTGCCTCTTCAGAGGAAATCAGGTTTCCTTTGAGGCAGCCAATCTCCATGGATTGAGCTTTTGTTAGCTTTTAACAGGGATTAAAGAATAGGAGGGGTAAGTCCACTGTGAAATGATACGTAATTGTGTGTTTGCCTCATTTAGTTGGTTGAAACTATCCACCAGGAAGAGAAAATATCAGGAGAAATTTCTGTGAAAATGTTACATTTACATTGTGCCACCAAATGCTTCAGATAAAAACATGCAGCTTTAGCTAAACTATCTTTTCTTCTGAGATTAAAAAGGACTCTTTGGAGCATCTCATCGGGTCCTACCCAAATGGAAAGTTTTACCATTCCTAACATATTTGTCATTATAGGAACAGGCTCATTGCAAAGCACAAGTCATGTGCATCTTTGCATGTAACAGGAATTTTAAATTGCATTGCACTGTTACATTTTTTCCCCATTTAAAGGCTTAACCATTGATAGGAGATAGAGCCCCCTGAAAATGTAGTTCTAAATGCATTATCCTCTTCTAAAGCAATGTATGTCCTTTGGTCTTTTAAAAATTTCCTCATAATGGAGTCCTTGAAACATCTTGAGGCAGGCTCACTCTGGAGAGCAAGAGAGTAATTATTTGTGGGTGGTGTTATTTTTGCTGAAGCTTGGATTGTAGCTGAAAAAAAATGTTGGTGTTAGAGCTTCTCCCACACTCCTTTATCTGCAAACCCCACCAGCCCCCCACACTGGGGCTGGAGCTCTCCAGGGTGGCTGCCTCAGAGCAGGGAATGATCCCAAGCACAGCCTGATGGTTTTGTCTCAGCTGGGTCCTGCTCTGGTCCTGTGCACTCAGAATCAGCTGTCACAGAGAATGAGACACTATGGCAGTTCCAGGGGTTCTGCAGACGGTACAAGATGATGTGTAGCTGCAGCCTGAGCGGGGTAAATGATGCTGGTGGTTGTTGGGTGCTGTTCTCTCAAGCCTTTGGGGCCACCTTGAGAGCAGCAGCTCCTGAGGGCAGGCACTGCTGGGGGAATTCACTTCTGTGGGTTATCAGAGTGAGCATGGATGTAAAGATGAACAAATACTGTAAAGTAAGAGCGTGCCAGAAACCTCAGGAAGGGCAGATGTGAGCAATCACTGTCCACTGTGTTTGTCAGAGAAGGGCTAAATGGACAGCATGCACACCTGGGTTCCTCCCTAGGACAGAGCTGTTCCTGAGCTGTGACCCAGACCTCGCTCTGGATCTGTGGTAGATTGCAGCAGGGAAAGGATTGACCTGCTGGATCTGGATTTTGCTTGTTTTATTTTTTCTCCCACCCAATCTTTGAATTAGTTTCCCTGTGAGCAAATGCCAATAGAGTTGTCAATATTCAGCCCCCAAAAAAAAAAGCTCTGTATAGGTAGAGCCAACAGCAAAACAACATTCAGTGCTAGTCAAAGCAAACCCTGTTCATCTACAGCAGCAGCATAAAAGGCATGACCCCTGTGCTACAGCAGTTTTCATCTTTGATGGGAAAACACCTTGTCTGACCTCTACACTGAAAACCACCAATGACCTTGATCGTGTAAACAGGACAAAATGAATTTAAAGTCTTATCACAGTTCTCATGACAAAATTCAGATTTGTTTGGCTTTTTTTTTCTTTTTAATTTATGTATGTGTGTGGTTGTGTGGGAAAATAAAGCTTTTTTGTATCAAATAACATCAATCCTTGCACACTCTATGCAAAATTTTGTAAGCATTGCAATAATGCTATGAATTACACAAGGAACTATTTTAACTTTATTACACTTTCTGTATAAAAAAAAAAAGTTTGTATTTAAATGATTTCAACTGCAATCTTGTAAAATATATTAATAAAATAATGATTGTTAAGAAGGAAAGAGATGTTGGGGTTTTTTTGTTGATCACTGTAGTGATCCATTTCACAGGAGCAAGTACCTGGATATATTTATGCCAAAAATGCTGTAGAAGATGGAATGAGAATTTCTGTGAATTGCTGGCGGAAGAAAACCTGTCATCAACAAAACAAAGGATTTTGTCTTTGGGGGAAGCTGAGTCTTTGTAGAATTCCTCACCCTTATCCTGGCATTAGAGACTCAGAGCCAAGATGTGCTACAGGCACTGAGGTTCTGCCTGAGCATCACAAACCTCTCAAAGAGCATCATCATTTTCTGGTAAATGGGATCTGGTGCTGCTTGTGCTCCAAACCAGCAGGAGCTCAAGGTTTTCCAAGAGTGACCAGAGCTGGGTACACACACCCAGGAACAGATCCCCACCTGCACAGAGTGGAGGGAGCAGGAGCTCGAGTCTGCCTGTGAAAAAATAAAATAATAATTAAAAAATAAGTAAATTTAAAAAACAAAACAAAAAAAAATCTAAATCCGAAATCCAGCAGCCTGGACCAGGTCACAAAAAGCTTCTTGGAAACTTCTGCCTGCGTTAATCATCCATCAGTTTTATTTTAATTGGCCAACTAATCAGCTGCTCATTGGTGACTGTGCACATGCCAGGCAATCACTTCTGAGGACATTTTGCAGGAGCTGGGTTTAAAATCTGAATTTGTTCGTCCTGGATTTTGTCAGAAAATTAGAGCATTGATTGAGGCTCATTATCTGAATAAATTGCAGTGTTTCAGTCAGGGTGGGAAGTTGTTTGTGCTTTCCAAACCCCTCAGGGAGAACAAACCCAGTGCCCACTGGACACAGGCAGAACCCAGGCTGGAGGAACACTTGGTTACCAGTTTGCAGGGGCTGCTGTTTACCAGGTTCCACACAAGTTCCCTCAGTTCTGTTGGGTGGGCACACACAGTCTTCTGCTCTCTCACTGGGTCTTGGACTGTTTGTCCTTTAAAAAATAAAAAAAAAAAAGAAGAGAAAGGACATCTTTCAGCTGAACTTCAGCTGCAGTCCTTGGCCTGAATTTGGAATTTCCAGTGAAGTGACAATGAAATAATTCAGGAATGAACCCTCATGCAGAAGGACATTGGCAGGAAGCTCCCAGCCCCCACGAGGACCAGCTCTGTGTAGATGAACAGCAGCAGCTCTTCCCTGGCTGCAGTGGCCAGGACCTTCCCCAGCACTGGGAAAATCCTCAGCACCTCCCTCTGGATGGGGGGGATTTAAACAGGGGGAGTTCTGCAGCTCAGCCTCAACAGCAGCAAGTTTGCTTTTTGAATTTTGAAGTTTGCAGTGCCCCCATGCTAGAAATGCTGGGTGGTCCTCAAAAGCAGCAGCATCTTCACTAGTTTTAAAGTTTGGGAAGCCAAAAACAGGATTTGGCTTCCAAAATCAACTCTTGGGAAAACCACCAAAATGTAATTTTCTCCCAAGTATCTTGCCCCTCACTTTTTAAAAAGTATCTCCCAATTTTTTACCTCCCAATTTTTTCTTGCTTTCTTTTCTACCCCTACAGGTGATTGTTTCCTTTTTTTTTTTTTTTTTTAGCCTAAATAACAACGATAAACAAAAAATAATGACCAAATAAAGAATCATTAAGATAAAATGAGTCCATTTCATACTCTGTAAAAGGATAACAACTTCCATAGCTTAAAATTTTATGTGCAGCTGCGTTTTCATATTTTTCATCTGAGTTCAGTACAGACAAGTTGCTGCTGCTGAAGTTCAGTTGTTAAATCTGGGTGATTATTTTTTATTTTTATGAACAGTGGCAAGAAAATCAGCCAGGAGAACTATCTGTTTTTAACAGTTTTTCTCCAGTGCTATGACCTTGATTCTTCTCCTTTAACAGAACTGAAAAATCTTCCTCAATTTAGTGATGAAGGTTCAGACCTAAATAGCTCCAGTGCCAAATGTATCCCAGAGGAAAATTATATGGCCTCATTTAATAGAGAAAAAGCATGAAGTCAAGCCAGCAGCAAGAGCTTGGCTCCTTTCTGCAGTCATTTCAGGATAAAAAGCAGAGTGTAAGTAGTCTTTAAATATTTGATTCACACTGTTGGACTATTGTAATCTACATTACTGATATGATCTGCACTTATTAAAATTGGGGTTTGTGAATAGCTCTGCACATAACAGCTCTGCTTCAGGCCATCACACAACCAGGCCTGTGTATCACCAGCTCTGGTATTTTCCCTTTCACACCTACGTGGGCATTTTTATATTTTTTTTCTTTACCCTATTTCTGGGCTTTGCTTTCAGTCCCCTGAGCAGCACAGCAGTGCAGGCAGAAAACCAGGCACTGCCTCCTCGCTGAGGAATGCACATCTCCTCTGCCTGGCTGCGTTCAGTGGGTGGGGAGAGGCACAAGACACCACTGGCATCTCTGGAATAACTTCCTTGGATTTGGTTTTGTGTTCCCCTCGCTGTAGCAGAGCTGTCACCAGCCCAGCCTCCCCCTTGCAGCCCCCATTCCCACCTCTCCTCCCTGCACCAGGCACTGCTGGATTATTGGTTGGACTTGGTGATTTTAGAGGTCTTTTCCAGCTTTAAAGATCCTCTGAGAGCCCTATTCCCATGCCACCCCGACAGAGACTGGGAAACAGGAATATTTGAAATGCCAGCATAACCCACAAGTACACAGGGGACAGTAAGACTGCAGTGCTGCTTGGTATTTCAGCACGTTTTAAATAAAAAAAAATAGATTACTTGGCCTAAACTCTACCTGCAACTTGAGTTCAGCAGCTGAGAGCCCCAAGCCAGCTGAGGGATGCTGCAAATGACTGAGATGGGATTTTTACTCGCTGGATGTGGGTCTTGGATCTGCTTTGCCAGATAGAGAAGACAAGAAAACAAACAAAATATAAGACAAAAAACAAACAAACAAACAAAGCCCTTTTTATATATTTTACCTGTTTATACAGGGTTTAATGCTTTTCTGGGAACAAACTGAGGAGGCCCCAGAGCTGAAATAAGCAGTGTTAAAGGTGACACTGGTCCCAGGGAGAGCCGTGTTTGCTGTAAGGCCCACCCAAAAACCCACAACGTGCCTGCCTGGGGAAACCAGGGAGATGAAAAGCTTCTCATTGCTCTCCAGCATCATCAGCTTTAGGAATAAGAAATGACTGATTGGGAAGTGTGAGTGCATGTATGTCTGTATGCATGGGACAGGGGAAGGTGCATTTCTGAATAATTCATTTTTTTGTCAGTTGTAACTACTCCCAAAAAACACGTGAGTATTACAATAAACCCCAATCTCAAAAGAGAGTGTTTGCAACACAATAATCCTGGACCATAATAGCTAAATTTGAAAATAACTATCGTCTGCTAGAAAGACATTCAAACATCTATAGCAAAACCAGCAGGCTGCTGTGGGAGCTCTGCACACACACAAGATTAACACAGAAAAACAAAAGGAGAAAAAGCAGTGCCACTTCTAAGAAAACTCACAACCCACCACCTACACAACGAACTTTTAAGCACAGAGTGCAACATGCAATGAATTATTTATGAATTAATTTCCAATGAGCAGTTTAGCAGTCAAAGGAAACACAAACAGGCAGCGCAGCCCTGCCTGGGGTGACAGCAGGGGACACAGGAGTGCTGTTCCTGTGGCAAGAAGACATTTAGCAGTGTGCATGATGAGTTGCACACTAATAAAGTTTAAAACAAAAATCCAATTCCTAGCAAACACCAGGCTGTGCAGAGTCCCAACACAGCCTGTGGGATATGCCCAGGACAGCACTTCACTCCTACCACACTCATTTTCTGCTAACCTAAAATACAAGTACAACGAGCTGCTGCTTAAAGGTAATGATGAGGCAAAGAAATCAGGAGATAAAAAGGCCACATCCTGATTTTAAATTAATTCTTTATAGCCAGGCTGTAGAACGAGCTGTCCCTGCCTGGCGCTGGAATGGGCTCTGCACTGAGGGCTCCACACCAGCAGTGGCCTTTAGCATGACATTAAATTAATGTTTTGTGGGTCTCTTTTCTCCTCCTCCCAGGCTGAGCTGCCTCATTTGGCTGTGGCTGCAGCTGGGCCCCAGTCCTGCTGCTGTCACACCGCTGCATGCCAGGCTCTGGGGCTGACACACTGCTGAGCACCTTCTTACCCCAGCACCAACAGGGAGCGTGGGCACAAATCAGCTGGGGTGGATTCCTGAGCTGCATTCGGTAGCTCCTGGGGCAGGGACAGGCGAGATGTTGCAGCTGGCAGGAGAACAGAGGCAGGGGAAGCTTGGGAGAACCCCAAAGCAGAGCAGGCAGGTTGGTGTGGGCTGTTTTGGGCTTGCTGCAGCTCCTGTGGCATTGCCAGGCACAAGTTGTGCTGGGTCACAGTTACCTGTGCAAACAGAGCAGCAGCACTTCTCATAGCAGCTCCTGGCTGCTGCAGTTGGAAAAGCTTAAAAATGCTCTTTTTTTTTCATTAATTTCCAGAGCAACACCAGAGTCCTGCCCAGTTCCAGGAGAGGGGCTGAGATTGCTGCTCCTCTGAGAGCCCGTGCTGCTGAGCGTGGTTTAGCTCACTTCCCACATTGGCTTTTATAATGATCACTTTTGTAATATTCCAGAAGCCCAGCGTGGCAGTGCACAGTCCTGTTAGCCACGTGGGGAATGGTTTGGGTTTTTTTAGCAGTGTCACAATGGAAACCCTGTGTCCAAAGAGGCAGAATTTTTCTGTGGGAAGAGCAGCATCACGTTCCTTGGTAAGTCCCACTCACACCTGTGTAAGCTCTGCATGAGGAGGTGAAGCCAGGATATTCCAAGTGAGAAGCTGCCCTTTATCCTGTCTTCCACCAGAAAGACTGAAGGCAAAAGCAGAAAGATGTGGTGATGATTTAGAGAAGTTAACTTCAACTGAAACAGGTGAAACATTTAAGACACCTGCCTGGTTCAAATCCCATTCCACTTTGGCTGTTAGCAGGATGGTC